CTGTGTCCCCGAAATTTGGTTCACATGTATATAACGGTTTTTCAATTTTCTTTCCATTTTATTGTAATCGGATTCCGAAAAAAACTGATAGTGTATTTTTGAATCTGGCTTAGAAATAGCCCATGAGTAAAGTTCTTGGGCCGTTGTTATATGGTGGCCTTGCAAACTCGCTTTCGCAGCGTTTCGTTTTAATACCCAAAGCATCACAAGGGCCCTTTCCATGACAAGTTGCGAAAAAATTCCACTCGGCAGCAATGCCAAAATCTTTTTGCATGTTGCATAAATTAAAAGCGGTCATCTTATTTTTATATTGGCTTCCTGATCCATCTGAGAAAAAGTAACCTTGGCAATTTACATTTTATGAACGCTAGACAATGCGTAAGAAATAAACGAACTGCGACATGATTATGTTTAGTGAAATCAGCAATTGCAATAAAACTAGTAAATTTCAAATCGTTAGATTCTTCGTCTTTAAAATAAATAGCACAAGGGTGAATAGTACATTGAGCGTTCGCCCAATGAAAGCCTTGAACTGCATCCTGCACAACGAAAGAATAATTCTCCGAAAAATCACAGATTATGATGCATTCTGTAGCTTACAAATTGCTTTTGACGTGTTTCATGTAATTTGCCTGTTGCTCAGCTATAAAGTTATGCGGCAATAAATTGAATATTTTTTCTAAAAAAGTATCAATAAATTCCTGTGTGTCCATTTCAACTAAGTCCATAATGCATCTCTCTACTTGACGCCATTGTTTGAATTGTATTGATTCAACATGTCCGTTACTAAGAATAGTCATTAGTTCTGTGGCCAAAATTTTTCCTGAACAATTTTTGCAACACTGCAGCCAGCATTGTTCACTTGGATTTTGACAAATTATTTTTTTAAACAAATCGTGATAGGAATCAACACCATCTGGGAGTGATTGTCTGCTTTATATCGTACCTACGAGTGAGTGATATACCTACGAGTCTAAGCTGTAACTCATAGGTATATCACCTGTTCGTAAGCAATGACGTCACTTCAAACAGCTGTTTCAGGTAAATAGATGAATATTGTGAATAAATACAAACACCACCAAACATTTCCAAATGTCACTAACACCGCGAAGCCTATTGGGCTGGAGCTTATGTAAAAGTCATTGCCTACGAACGAGTGATATACCTATGAGGTACAGCTTGGACTCTTAGGTACTGATGCAACATGCAAAAAAAATTTGGCATTGCTGCCATGTGGCATTTTTTCGCAACTTGTCATGGAAAAGGCCCTATGGGAGGAGTATTGAAACGAAACGCTTTAAAATTTGAGTATACGAAGGGAAAGGTAGGATCTGCAATGTTTAAAACTTGGTCTACGTGGTTTATGGACGGCCCACAGGTTGAACTGAATGTTGCACCCAGCTTGTAAGTTACTCATAGATTTCATTAGTCACAGCTGCTGTGACTCGATGGAGACGCATTGTGAACTACCTTGCGTCTTCATCGTTTCCATGCACGTGTGGTGCATATATTGCGGAACAATATTTTTTTTATTTAAAAAAAAAATTGTATCTCCAAAACTGCTTCTCCGACATTGCTATTTTTTTGATATGTTATGTAAAATTAAATGATCTTTCAATTAAAAATACTAAAATAAGAAGTTGTTGAAGACCCTCGCAGTGAAAATCAAGAAAAAGCATTTGTAACATAGTTTTTTTCTACAAAATCAAATATCTCCGAGTGTTTCATAATTTTTCTTAAAACTACATTAAAACATCTTTAATTTGAAGGGTCAATGGTAAAAATCGGTCAAGAGGTTCAGAAGTTATAAATTTTTGAAAAAATACATTTTTGAAAAAAAAATGATTTTTTGGACCACCCTAACACGGAAATGGTCACCCTAATGGCACAATAAAAAAATACGAGTCTAATATTTTTTGATAAGGAAGAACTATACCAATTTTCATGAAATTCAGAGACCCACTATAACTTTTTTCTATGGAATTGCTGTATATATATATATATATATATAAATATATATATATATATATATATATATATATACCATAAACTCATAGTTCAGCTTCTGAAAAATAATTTGACTACAAAAACATAGTTGAAGATGCTGATTTCAAATAACAGATTAAAGTGATAATTTTTATAAGGCAGATAAGGAGATGAAAGTATAAAGTTGATAGTTCCCCGTAGAGTACGGCTGTGTGAAAATTGTATATAAAGAGTAGAAAGCGAGCAAGAACAACTTTTAAGAAGGTACAAATCGGGTTGATCATCTTTCTTTACCAAACTTCCCCGTTGGAGAGGGATGGTGAGAGGTATTCCCCCCGCTCCCCTACCACCACAACTGGCAAAAAGAGATGATCACCGATCTGCTCATGTACCGATGATGTGTTTGAAACAGTTCTATCGATTGTACCGCACTCAAGTTGTTATCTGAAGGGAGGCATCCAGTCGTAGGTTTGGAAATTACAGCTATTGTTACGTCTACCACGGTATATGCTACTGTCATCGTCGACAAGACGATCTCAAGGAGACACGGGTAGGGAAGGTGCTGCTACTGTACCTTTCGACCAATGACAGTAATTGATGGCAAGCTCCCATCTAGAGTTATGTACTTTTAACTATTTGTTTGTATTACTTCTGCGTGAAGTTAACGTTTTACATAGTTGCAGATGCTAATTTCAAATAACAGACTAAAATGGTAATTTTTATGTGATATATGAGGAAATGAAAGTATAGAGTTGCTCTTTACCAAACTCCTCCGTTGGAAAGGGATGATGAAAGGTACTTGATTCCGAATCAGAAATCCTTGTGCAAAGTGTATTTTTAGCAAAAAAAAATCCATTTCACGGTAATTAATTAAATAATACATAAAAAAAATGCCACATTAAAACTAGTAACAACAATCGCTGTAGCCGTATGATCATTTATTTACATTCAGATATTGAATACTATTGAACGTGAGCTAAAAGGAATTTATTACGGCGCCGGTGATTTAGTGGTAAACGTGACTGCTATCTTACCCTATCTCTCTGTTCAATTCCAGCCGAGGTCGTTTGTTATTTTTCTGAGGTGAAAAATCTTTAGGCACGTCTTCCTTCCAGGTGTGGATCTCCTCTCTCTGGCCTCCGATTGCCGTCAGTGATTAATCATCAATTGAAAAGATAAATTCTTCAGTGTTTCTCATTTTTTTTATTGTAATGAAGATATTTTGGTTTAAATATTTGTTATCACCCTGCAATTAAATCGCCTTAGCGGCAATACTAAACCACTTAGCGATCTAGAACAAAATGTCATATTCAGCTACAAATATATGCTATCGGCTAAGTAGCTCACAACCCATATTTTAAGACATTTATCTGCATAACTTTGTCATCAGATTGAACAACTTAGGGGGCGGCACTAGCGTAGTGGTTAGCCTTCATTCTTATCATGTCAAAGTCACGAGTTCAAATCTCATTCCGTTCAGTACTCGCGCCAACTTTTGTAACACGAGCAATCACGCATTGTACAAAATACAACAATATGATATATTTACCTTTGAAGTGCCCTCATATGGAAACTGATATTCTCCAATATATTCTTCAAGTATTGGTCTATTGGGCAAGGGTATTAAATGTAATTAGACATGTTAAGTTTCACGTTGAGCGAGTTCCAAAGCCAGAAGTTTTTATGTTTTTTTTTTGTACTTTGTAAGGTTCTACAAAGGGTCATTATTTTGTTTACTTCTTTTTTTTAATATTCTTCGATCATCATTGTCTTAATGTATTGGTAAAATTCATTGGAAGTGCATGTCCCACGCCAAATTAGCCCATTTTTCAAAAATATCAACTGGAATGGTGTGGAAAACTTAACCATCCCTAGTGGATAAGAATGTAGCAGACAAAACATTCACACTGCCAGACTGCGCTGTATGCAAGTTCGTTTACACCCCTGAGCGGGAAAGTGAATACCAGGCTACGTGCACTGTTGCCATCAGCCCTGTTAATGTTGAATTCAATCTTCTGTAATTTTTTTTTATTGGACCGTAAAATGTCTAAAATGGTAATTTATGTTTTATTCAATCAGTTTTTGATATTTATCCACCATTAAATACATCCACTCATCTTTATTAAACTTAAATTCATTGCTATAAGCAATACATCTGGCACCACTGTTTCAATGATACTTTCACGATTGCTAGCAAAGCAATAAAGTAGAAATGGTTTTCTTTGTGATAAATTTTGTTCACCAAGAGTTTTGTGAAGCAGTCGTTTTGAGTTTCGTGTATTCGATTGCGTTTAATTGTGTTATACTTCGAAGAACACAAGTAAGTAAATACAGTGAATGTGTTTTACCCAGGAAATTTTCGATCTAAAATCACGAAATACATGTTTTAAATTTTCGAATTCATAATAAATGAATGTATGTGTAAACTAATGATGATGATTTTATGATATTTAAAAAAGAAGAAGAACACAAAATTACTTACCCTTTGTAGAACCTTAAAAGGATAAAATAACCTTAATGAAAAAAATAATTTTCTCCTTCCAACGATACGCTCCAACAAATCGAATAACACAATTCGCAATACTTATTAAGCTTCCTACTGGATGGTTTGTTAAGAAGGGCGCGTCAATCGCCCTGAAACTGTTGGAGTAGAATTCACACCACCATCAAAAGCAAAAGCAGTCGATTATCACATAAAACACATCGACTACGGTGACCTCTTACACCACTGATTGTGATCGTGGTACAGTGAATTAAGTTCAAATTTGATCACCACGACACAACTTTGTTTCGATGTTAAAAATAATATGCTCAGTTCTTTTGTTAGTATTTTAATTTCATTACTTTGATTCTTTTGTTTCAAAATTTAGCGACGTTGGACGAGGACTATGGGGAAGCAGGTATATTTCATGTTTTTTTTTTATTTGTAACTTCATCAATAAACATTACCCAACTGTGCGCCAAAAAAAAAATCATTAATCGAAGTACTAAAATCAACACATGCTTCCACATCATTTCGGATTCTTTCATCGACTGGAGGAATAAACTCGATTCTCTTCCTATTCAGATTATCACGATCCTGGTCCTGATAAACCGCTTGATCCGTTCACTGAAACTCCTTTTATCAGTGAAAGGCCTTACACGGTATCATCTACGAGTCACGGAATTGTCGATCATTCTATTGATGATCGTAACGAGAAAGACGAAGACGAATACGAAGAAGAAGATAACGGATTTGACCATCATGTACCTGTAACTGAAGCGGAAACGGAAAAGCCAGTAGAGACGTCAAGTCAAAGTATTGCCGGTTACCTCGAAGATAGGTGCCGCGGAGACGACAAGTTCCGATGCGGTAGTTCGAATGTGATCATTTGCGATGTGCAAAAATGTGATGGAGTCCGTGATTGTCCAAACGGCGCGGATGAAGACCTTCCTGAATGTTTACCAGGGGTTCCAACTACGATAGGTAGCAGTTTGTGCTCGATAGTTTGCCTGTTCAGCTAACCATTGTTGCTTGAATTTCACCTTATCCGCTTCTGCTTTGAATTTCCATTACCTGTGTGAGTGTGTTTCGAGTGTATGTTTGAAGTTTGTCTCACATGTTCATTTTAGCTTGTAATCATCGAAAAACTAGGCAGATATTGAAACGACCATCGATCCATACAGCATAATAACAGCGAACTTAACAACAAATACCCATGCAGTGTCCGTCATTCCCTATAACATGAACGAATCGTCAGTTTACGCCAAATTTCACTTTGTTTTTAGAGTGTACTGTAAAACCTTTCGTTTTGTTTTATTTTCTATTTCAGATTGCACCGACCAGGAGTTCAGATGCGATAATGATAAATGTATTGCCAAATCGAAGAAATGTGATCACGTGCGTGACTGTGAAGACGGATCTGATGAGCTGGACTGCCCAACTGCAGCCCCACCGGCAAGAGGTAAGATTGAGACATTTATCTTTTAGTCGCAAATATCCCCTCTAGGAGGTTTTTTATAAACAACGTTCAGCAGTTATGTGGGATTGATATTTTAAGATTCTTTGAAACATAATGTACAAAATGTTGAGGTACTTAAATGATAGCAGCAGATATGGTTCAAACATATCATATAAGGTTGAGATGATAACTTGAATAGGTTATTAAGCTATTTTAATGGATAAAAGGTGTCCACAGTTAAATTGCATCACTTTCAAAAAGTTGTAACATTTTGCCCTTTGGGTTAATTTTAATGGAATTTTGGGTGAGATGGCCTCAGCGGGTATTGTTTAAACTGCGTGAGTTTCATTGTGAAATTTCTAGTAGTTTTGAAAATGGTGTCGAAGGAACGGTGCGTCCGCGAGAAAAAAAATGTACACTCATCTCAACCACCCACATCTTTCGCACCGAGCCATGGGAAAGATATTGTGAATCCAACAATCTACTGTTAATCATGTCGATCGGAAGCAAGTGAGTGAAGAAAAGTGTTCCGTACTGCGTTGAAGATTACAAGCGAGTGGTTGCTGCCTTCAAACGCAAACCCAACTATGTTGTAGCAGGACTACGTTTATTCAAGGTTCAGAATGCACCAAACCGCAATGAACGACAGCATAGGAAAGCTAAAACGCGGGCTCGTAATCCGTACACATAAATGTTGACAAAACCACACGATGAACGATAAAACATACGTAAAAGCGGACTTCAAACAAATCACCAGTATGTGACTGCGAAAGACACGTTCGACGTTTCAGAGTCCCTCGAGAAACAGCAAGTGTCGAAGTTCCCCAAGAAATTCATGATTTGGCAGACGATTTGTTCTTGCGGATAACTACAACCGTAAATGGTTTACATTAATTAGTGCCTCAAGAAACTACTGCTTCCGTTTCTCAAATCAAAGGGGAAATGGCTTTAATGTTGGCCTAGGGATCTAAGATAAGTTCTATTTATCAATTTTATCTAGATGAACGCGTCATTGAAACGGTACTAATAGATATTTTTGGTAGCTATTGAAAATTTAGTCGATTGCTGAATTTATGTATGGGCCAATATTAGGGACATTTAATCCGACATTACATCTATTTTTTGGTTGGATCTAGCCTCTTTTCACTACTTCAAGGACGTTCTGAAGTGGTACAAGACCATTGGGGTCAATTTCGTTCCGAAGATCTCATTCTCCCAAACACACCGGAATAAGCATCCAGCCCACATCCTATATGTTGAAATCATGGTTGAATCAACCGTTGTAGAAAACCTTGTGGTCGGAATTAAGAAGACAAAAGGTTTCCGCTGTTCTGTTGAAATCAAAATATGGGTAAACATGGGCTCACATGAAACGTATTGGATCGTGTAAGCCATAGTTTGCAGTACGCGGTCTGAGATGCAGAAAACTCCTTGATCGAAGAACTCGTTGTGGTGCACAGATTTCGAGATCAGCCAAAATTCCAGAAGAATCGATATCGCCTACATGTACTATAGTTGCAAACACTGCTTGGCTGATAGTTCGCCTATGTTCTAGCGGTTTTAGACCCAGAAGTTGACAAAGATCCTCGTAGAGTGGAAGGTTCATTGGATCATTCCAAGGATGGTGACTAAGGGCCTAACACACGAATTTCTTTTACACGGATGCAATTTTCGCTATCCACACTGCTTACAGGCACCATACCACTACACCGAATTCCATGATCAAACTGTATAAACCTTTAGGCAGTAAGGATCACGTAACTCGGCGGAAATCTTGAAGATAAAGTAATGTAGCTTAAATATCAAAACGGAGTCAAGGGTAATTACTCGGTCACAGACTTTGTCCACATGCTGCAGAGGTTGATTATGGATCGTATAATCGATCACTCTGCAATACTACCTATGATGTGCTGCAGCCGCAAGCAATCAGCGATGCATCGCACCACCACATATATTTTGACATCGTCCGCACAGAATGATTGGTATCCACACCAGTCCAATATCGTTAATGTAAATCGAGAATAGCAACGGTCCAAAGCTGCTGCAATGGGGGACAGTGTGCAAGATGGAATACCATCAGAACCAACAGCGTTTGAGAATTTTAGCTCCTAGATGGCAGTCGACTATGTCCAAGGTGCGGTAGATATCAAAACTGAACACAGCTCTAGAGATGTCTTTCATTTCTACTGTAGGTTGGACTAACGAGGCTGTTGAAACGTTGAAAACATTCTTGAACCGGTAGTATCTTTCCTTTTTATCTTAAAAAACGACTAGAATAGCTTTGGACTGGGCCGAAAATTGGCCTGCATACATCATTTGTAGTTGTTTTAGAGAAAATGGTTGCACAATCGAGATTCATTATTGGTTGAAGAAAATAATCGTGCGCATGATCTCAAACGCTTTAAGTGCCGTAATCTAGCATTAAATCATACAGGTTCCGGAGCAGGTTTTCTCAGAAAGACACAATCGGTGATTGCCTGATTCACAACCTCGTCAAAGTAGTTCATGGCTTCATCAATGGAGTAGCATGAGTCAAGAAATAGCCAATCTGCCTGGGCTAGAATGTGATTAAAAGCAGCAAAGTCGGTGGATGAACGGCGTCAAGATTTGGTGGTTTCGACAACGGTGCAGCCCCATTTCGACAAATGCAGCTTCATTCTCCAGCACAAGATCATGCAGCCATGAGTGTCTGTTCAATATCGAGTTGATTTGCCAGACTGAGCAGTTTAAACAACGGTTGTCAAATAATTGTAACACAGAAACCACCATCAAGATAGCGCTATAACATGTTATAACTCTGTAGTCTGAACGTACTATTAAAACATCCAGAAGAACACAGCAAGAAGCAGGCATGTACGATTAAATAATATACCAATCTAGCCCAGACTGGTTGTAGTCACCTCATAACAAAGCAAGATCGTTGTGGTCTAATCTAACCGAACTGATATGATTCTCAACGCAGCTCAAATCAGATTTTCGGTCTGGAGGTAAGCAAATGGCACCGATACTTATAGCTCATTGCGGTGTCGTTATCTTGACCCACAACTGCTCAAGAGAAGTGCTGGCCAAAGCAGGATCTAGGAAACAGCTTAGGCTCAACAGCAGGAAACAGTAATTACGAAATACTTTAATAGACTGCTGAATAGTTGTGATTAATGGACTTGCTCATCACGCCAGGTTTCGGTGAGAACTATAGGATCGTAGTTGGATTTAACAGCAGTCATCTATCTTTGTTCGCAGCCCACAAACGTTCTGGTAGTATACCTTGAGATCGTTGAACGGTGTAGGTTGAATATCCGTGAACTCTGAAGAGGATGGCGTTACGTTGGAACATCAATAATCGCATATTTGCCTGAAGTAGAAGGTTGGAAGACCCCATTCAGTATTCGCAACCACAGGGACAGAATTAGCTGGCGCCACTGAAGCGTTAAAGCAAGCCTCGTCATTTCGAACATTAAGTTATTTTAGTTATTTTTCTGTTCTTTTTTGGTAAACGATAAGCTGAATTGATGTCCTAACGATCGTATAACGCGAAGGAGCTTGGGATTGAACCCACGGTCTTCTGCTCAGTAAGCAAAAACGTTTGCCACTAGGCAGACGAGCTCCTTTTTAATCATTGACGAATCTCGAATGTGGATGGGCTTGAGATTAGACTCATGATGTTCTGCTCAGTAAGCAAAAACGGTTGCTCTAAGGCCACCGAGCCTCTTATATCACATTATAGCGTTACTCAAGTTTTTATAACTATTCAAACCCGGCACCGACGACAACGTAAAGTTTTACAAAATACACGATAAACAAGCGATATTTTAATATTTTTAATATGAACGGATCTGGGACCGCGTTTTTCTCTTCAGGTAAGCAAGCCAGTGCAACCGACGATCTTTGAAATCCTAAAACTAAAAGCTACGAGAGAGTACTTAGGCCTTCATTAAGATCCACTTTCACGCGACGTTCAATGTTTCGATTTTCTCTTTACGCATGGTTCAGACAATCATAACAAGCTATGACCGACGTGACGATTGTTTAAGACCTGGTTAAACAAGCTATTCAAATGAAATTACGTTCTCGAATTTCACTTGGAATGTAATGAACAACAGAAATACGCGGTTGATGTTTAATTTTAAATATACTAACGGTACTGCCTACGACTACGACGGCGATTACGACAGCGACTACGACGGCGCCTACGACAACGACAACAGAGAATTTGTAACTTACCATTTGTCTAGGATAAACACCTTTTCCCGGCACCTCCACTGGCTCTTCATGTCCGCTATCTGTCACTGTTTGCAAAATATCTAATAGCAATTACCTTTGTTGTGATACTTCCTATATTGCCATGGTGATCTGGGAGAAGGTTCGCATCTAGTGCTTTCCCCAGGAACCGTTCACGGCCACCAGCTACCGCCCGTCCAGACTTGGGCATATCCAGCGAGACATCCTTCAGCTAACTCACAATCTCCGACACTCAATGCAAATCGCAGGCACACTTTACACCCTATGGGGCAAATCGAAATGAGTACAATGGGGCATGTTAAAATGGTGGATATCCCATTCTCAGTACAAGAAATCACTTCAATATTGCAAGGATATCCAATAAAAAAAACTACAGTATTTTAAAAATGAAAACTATTATTTTTTCCATAGAAAAAGGAGGTCGAGCTGTCGTAAGTATGTTAAATCCATCTTTGACCATTAAACAAAATTCACCGGTTAATTTAGCTGTTTAAAGGCACATTAAGGTTATGTTTAACTATATATATACAGTAATATTTGACTGTATAAGCTAATCTATAGCCAAAAAATAAATTTTGTATAGGCTCTGTTCGATGTATTTTAATACAATTCTATTGCTGCAATTTACGATAATACATAAATGTAATGTAAGCCCAAAGATATTATGTGGTAATCCAATTGAGGTTATTCTTTTCAAGATTTCTAGTGATAAAGTTTTTCAAGCCCTGTCAGCTTTAGTCCCACTGCTAAATCAAACTTTTGGA